CTATCTCATTTGCCAAAATCAGTCTTATCTTAGCAAATACTAATACCACCCACCCACCCTGTCTCCTTTTTAGTGATCGATTTTATCCGACCTGAATGAAATGAATGATCTTATATTGAACGGAAATAAATTTGGTCGTTAGAATGAGAAGAAGGGGGGGTGGGCGGAGCTAGTACTTGTCAAGATAAGACTGATTTTGGCAGATAACTTTCTTTCCAAGAAAATAGAGGGCGGGTGGGCGGGCCCAATATTTGATAAGATAAAACTGATTTTGGCAAATAACATACCTTGTAAAAAAAAGGGTGGGTGGGCGGGGCTAGTATTTCATCAGATAGGACTGATTTTGGCAATTTTCACACTTTTCGGCACTTTTTTACGACAGGGAGAATTTTTGGATCGTGCCTAAATCAGAACAGGCGTCGTTGAACATGGTTTTGCGATTATTAAGCTTCAGAGTGGAAGTAGAACTTGATGTTGTGGTTTTGGTGTCTGACTTGCAGTGTTATCTCGCCGATAAGAGTCTGGGTGGCGGAAAACCAGTACACATGGATGAATTTTCCGACTGTTGCAATTTTTTTTAAGTAAGCTTTTAAAAGTTTAATAATCTTTGTAGTGTATACCATATTAAGCCAAGCATCTAAAAACGCATACCATTATTTGTTTTTTAACGTAACACAGCTCTTTCACTTTTCGAGGAAGATCCATCATTTCAATTTCAGCTGGTTTTAAACTATTTAAAAAAAAATCAGTGCCAACCATTTCAGTTTATGACCTTTCCAACACCTACAGTAAATTCTTAGAACACTATTTTTATGTCCACTAAAATTTTACCGTCATGTCAAATTAAAGACGGTAGCAGATGGAATTCCGTGTCAGGGACGTACTTTTTAAATTTCAGTGTCGACTAGAGTTCCAAATCTGATGACCATTTTTGTCTACTGTGAACGAAGAAGTAGACGACAAGCATTGTTAACATAATAAATGAACTGTGTTTTTGGAATTTTATTATTATTTCCACAGCTGAATAAGTTTTTAATTTATATTGCACATTTTTTAATACGACTGTTTCAGCTCGTTTTTTCTTCAAATATTTTTTTTATTTTATTTTTAGATAAGACTGTGGCGAAAATTTTATCAACAGGGGACCAAAATTTAAAAACCTTCATTAAAAAATAGGGTGGAGAATGTATGGCTTGAGGCGCTTTCTAAATATAGTCAAAGAATGTGTCAAAATTTTTGTAAACATTGTTAGAAACGTATTTTGGCAGATTGTGAAAAAATATGGGAAATCTTTCGTACGAATTTGTACCTCCTTTCATTACTTGGCTAGGCAATCGGCCCAGTAGTTTGAAACATTATCTGTCTAGTATTTGACAATATAAGACTGATTTTGCGATTTTTGACATATTCGACCAAAAAAGTCACGATTAGCGTTTTTTACTGTTTTGACAGAAGAATAAAATTAGCCCCGCCCACCCACCCTATCTCCATTTCGGTGATTGGTTTTATCCGCTCTGAATGGATGGAATGATCTTATATTGAACAGAAATAAAATTAGTCATTATAATGAGGAGAGGGGGTGGGTGGGTGGGGTTAATATTTTATAAGATAAGACAGATTTTGGCAGATGACATATCCTACAAGAAAATAGAGGGTGGGTGGGCGGGGCTAGTTTTTGATAAGATAAGACTGATTTTGGCAGATGACATATCCTACAAAAAATAGAGGGTGGGTGGGCGGAGCTAGTATTTGATAAGATAAGACTGATTTTGACACTTGATATATTCGACCAAAAAAGAGTTACGATTAGCGCTTTTTTTTTACTTTATTCACATACTAGATTCTATTAGTTGCCACTCTTACTTGAAAGAAGAACAAAATTAGCCCCGCCCACCCACCCTGTCTCCATTTCGGTGATTGGTTTTATTCACTCTGAATGGATGGAATGATCTTGTACTGAACAGAAATAAAATTAGTCGTAATATAAATCGACGCAGACAACAGGCAGCATACATATTGTTTGGACCTTGTCATGTAGGGGTAATGAAACGTCGAGAAAACATTAAAGTAGCCAGTCGCCTAAATGGACTAATGTTAAAATACTTCCGCAGCATACACTAGGAAAATAAAATCTAATATTTATAATAATACCAACTGTTTTTCCATTTTTCTGTTTTTTCGTTCGTAATTATATAGTGGGTCTTCTAAAACACTTTTTGGAGGGAAAATTTGAATTTGTGTTCATGCGCGATTTCTGGCATTGTGTGTTTCAGCTTTTCTCTCACTTTATCCGTGGATGTTGTAGCTCCTCTCCCCACTCCAGCTGTTTCTTCCCCTCTTGTTATAGTCGTTTTAACAATAAAATTTATATTTATTTAATTTTAGATCTGCTTTGATGATACGAAAAATTGGTCTCCCGTTTCCGTCTGTCTGTCTGTCGTCGGTGTCGAATTTTATTAGACAGATAATCCGCGAAACTACTGGACTGATTGTAGTCAAATATTAAACAGATGTTTGGAAAATCGTGTAGATGGATGGATTAACAGCAGTAAATGTTATTTAAATTTTATAGCGTAAGATACTGCTTGTGGTTTATATGTAAATCCGTGTTGAGGTTTTACCGTAGACATCCAGATTAAAAAAAAAAAATCAAAATTGTAAAACAATATGTCTGAAATATTGTAAGCATTGTAGATTTTTTTCTTTTAGCCCCTGTCGAAAAATGTGGTGGTTTATGAATGCATTAATATTTTTTAGAATTACTTATACAGGGTGACTGAAAAAATTAATTTAGTTTATTGATCAAAAAAGGACCCGGGGTGGGCTAGTTAGCATCATGCTTGCCCGCTACACCTTGGGTCGTGGGTTCGATTCCCGCCATGGCTCTGGGTGTAACGTGTATGTCCCGTTCCCCTGTAATTGGGCCTCAGTGCCTGTTGGGGGACGTAATTAATAAAATAAAAAAAAAAATAAAAAATAAAAATCAAGATCAATGGTAGAAAATTTGAGTACATCACCCTTGAAGCACGAAAAACCAGGTCTCCTGTTTCCGTCTGTCTGTCTATCATCTGTGGTCTGTGTCGATATTTATTAGACACGAAAATCTCCAAAACTACTGGGTCGATTATTGTTCAATTTTATATGTATGCTAGAAATAACGCTAACCGATATCTGTTTAATCATCCCTACCACCAGTGTGATGACATCACTTCAAAATTTTGCTTAGTAAATGTTATTCAAATAATATAAAATAACACTTGTTCTTTATGAATCCCTTTTAATTTTTGTACCTTGAAGAAACATTTTTTTGGAAAAAATCAAATAAAATTTCTAAATAAATATAGCATTAATTTAAAAAGGCGAAGACTTTGTTTGCGAAATGGGTTATATTTTCTACTATTGGTACTATTGAATTGGAATATTTTAGCGCAGTAGACGGTCAAGCTTTTGAAACTGCTCATTGTTTTCAAAAAAAAAAAAAAAACTCAAAATTACCAGAAGATACGCCGGAGTTTAATATATTTATATTTCTGGAAAATATCATGATTTATGTTTTTATCAATATTTTTAATTCTTCTTTATTTACGCTTGATTTTTGAACAACAGAAAATTTTTATGAGCTTTAGATATAGAAAATACTAAAAAACAGATTAAAAATTTCGACAGTATTTTGTGTAAAGTAGGTGACATATGAGTATTTAAAATACATAAATTGTGTTAAAAATGGAATAACTTGGCAACGTCGCATCGGAATTTCAAAAATAAAATTTACTTCAAAGGCTTTTAAAGGGACAAATCAGAGAGTGAAAACTTGTTTATACTTCAAATATCACCTGAAAATTAGCAAACTCAGTTCCGAAATTCGATGTAAGTATAAACTTTTGAAAATTATTCCAAGAATATTTTTTATTGAAATTTTAGTGTTTCTTCTGCATCGAATACCAACAAACTCACTAGATTTTCATGGCCAACCCTATTATATAAAGATCGTGAACGGATAATATGTTCGGATCAGCAAAATAAAATTTTCTCAGGCAACAATAGATAATAATATGTAGATTCATTCGAAAAAAATATCACTCCGTGATAATAAACACGCTACATTTTTGGAATCAGCACGTCGAGATCTATAACCCTGAACCTTTTCAGAATTTTTAGACAACTTTTTCACAAATGTATATATATGCAAATTTCGACTCATTTTCGACGATTTTTAAATTTAACTAAATACATTGAAATAATGTAATTTTGAAAATCTTATCGAACTTCACCGAACGGTAGCACTTTCTAATAAAATTTACAGCCACGCTTTTATCAGATTTACATTTTCTAATATCATTTTCCCACTTCCTGTAATCCCACAACGTAATAAAACCCGCCGCTTCATATTTCACCATGTCGCTAAATATAAACACGGAGGTCAATGTCACTGTTAATTTATTCATTAATGAACTTTATCCACAAACCATCAGAAATTCGGAATCCCCAGAACGACCACCCCCCAATTTACATAAATACAAACAAACAATTTCCACAAAATTTCCACCTCAAACCTCAACCAACCATAAATTAGTAAACACTTCCGACCTACTTGTTATCACACCAAACAGCTAAAAACACTTAAAACATCTTTTAAAAAAACCACGCCGATAACCGGTAAAAGTCGTCCCAATTTGATATGGAAAGAACCGTACAAACTCGTCTCGAAAAGTCGCGCCAATTAAACAAGTTTTCGCAAATTTAATTGCACTCCCAATAAAAAGCCACTAAAAATTTAAAGTCACGCGATTTCCCCGCACTACAAACACTCCGCGAGATCAATAATTTTCGAGACCTTACGAAACTAGTGACAGGACCTCCGGTAAAAAAGGGGATAATGACTATAATTAGCGGCGAACTTCGCACTAATTGCTTTGTTTTTGTTAATCCCGGCCTTGACCTACATCGATCCTCGGCTCGCCCGACCTTTAATTATTGCAATCTAATTGGCGATTACTCACATCCTCGTCCTTTGAAGATCTCGTTGTAGTCGGTCAGGTTCGTCACTTCCGCCGTGGAATCCTCCTCCGGGTCGGTTCCGGAGGTGCTCTCCTCGATGGTTTTTACGTCCAAGGAGCGGTTCTTGAGGCTGACGGGGCGTTCCGCCTTGGAGAAGCTCTTCCTGATGCTCTGGTTGGGGGTGAACGGGCTGGGGACGTTGTCGTTGGTGGGCGTCATGGGGTGGACTTTGTTCAGGTCGACGACGTAGACCTGGACGTTGGTCAAGTGGAAAGAGGCGCCGACCTGGAAGAGACGACGATTTATATACAGGGTGGTTCGTTAAAGTGTCAAACATTTTTATTGATAAGTGATTTTTACACCTTAAAAAATTATATATCCATATTTTTTAGATAAAATTCAAATACATAAATTTTATGTTGACAACTGTTCATCAAAACGTTTTTGTATCTGATATTCTTTTTCTCTTTCTTTAACTAAAAAAATCCTAATCTGTAGTGTTTAAAAAAATCATGGTCGAAATTTATTTAGATGAACTTTCCTCGCCCTTGAAGCGCAACCAATCTAAAGAAGTTTACTATCCTAAGCGTATGTTTAAACTCGTCTTTTAAATTAATAAACTTTTGTTACAGAAAAAAGGCGACAAAGAAAAGATAAAACAATTCCACAAAAATGCGTCAACAAGCCGGAAAAAAAGCACAAAAAAAGTGAAAGAAGTAGGCAAGTAAACACAAAAGACGAACAAGAACTACAGAAATGGGGGATAAGAAAGGAAAAAAAATAAAAAAAAGAGTAATAACATTAAACATATACGTTCCTCTCGATGGATCTAGAACGCCGCTTCGAGGTTCTTCTGGGCCTCGCAATCGAGACTTCCATACTAGAACGCTCTCGACGGTCCATAGGCGTCGTACCGGGGCGGCGTATGGGTTAATTTCGTAACAATACGTTAAAAAAAGGCAACGAACAAAAAAAAAACGAAAAAAAAACGATACAAAAAGAGCGGTGGAAAAGTCCGCAAAAAAACAAAAAAAGAAGGCAACAAAGAAAATAACAAAAAAAGATCATAAAAAAGACGAGGGAAAAAAAGGCGATATGGAACCAAAAAAAAGCCAAAACTCCACAAAAATGCGACAATGTGAAAAGCTGCAAAAAAGGCGACCAAAAAGCGTCAAAAAAATGTGCCAACAAAACGACAAGAACAAGTAAGGAAAAGAGAATAAAAAACGCAAAAAGACCAAAAAAAGATAAATAAAAAAGTCAACAAAAAACAGCTAAAAAGACGGTAACAAAAAACGGCACTATGATTTTTCGATTTTTGAATCTTCAATTTTTAGGTTTCTCGACTTTTCTATTTCTTGATTTTTCGTTTCCTCAATTTCCCTATGGCTCGAATTTTCGATTACCACTTCTTCGATTTTTGTTTCTCAATTTTTCCACTTTTTAGTTTCTCGACTCTTCAATTTTCATTTTTCGGTCTCTTAATTTCTCTATTTTCTGATTTCTATATTTTTCTATTTCTCGATTCGTCAATTTTTCAATACTTCCTTTCTCGTTTTTACAGTTTTCCGATTCCACTACCTTTCGATTTCTCGAATTCTCAATTTTTGAGTTTCTCAACTTTTTGATTTTTCAGTTTATCGGTTTCTCGATTGTTCAATTTCTCCATACATTTTTCGATTTTCAGTTCTTCGATCTCCCTATTTCTGAATTTTCCAAGTTCTCGATTTTTCAGTTTTTCGACTTTGCGATATCTCGATTTCCCGGTTTTTCGATTTCCTGATTTCTGGACTTTTGTATTTCTCGATTTTTCGAGTTTTCGTTATCTTGATTTCTCGATTGCTCGAATTTTCGATTTCCACATTTTTTTGATTTTTAGATTTATCAAGTTTTCGATTTTTCATTTTCTCGATTTTTCGACTTTTCAGTTTCAGAGGATTGCACTAGTCTGAGGATTTGAAGATTTTAGTGTTCTGAGGATTTGAGGATTTTAAAGTTCTAAGAATTATACGATTATGGTGTCCCGAGGATTTGAGGATTAATGTGTTCTGAGAATATAAGGACTTTGGTGTTCTGAGAATTTGAGGATTTTGGTGTTCTCAGAATTTGAGGATTTTGGTGTCCTGAGAATTTGAGGATTTTGATTTTCTCATAATTTGAGTATTATGGAGTTCAGAGGATTTGGGGATTTTGATGTTCCGAGGATTTGAGAATTATGGAGATTTGAGGATTTTAGGATTTTTCTGTTCTGAGGAGATAATGATTATGGAGATCTGAGGATTTGAGGATTTTGCTGTTCTCAGGATTTGATGATTTTGGTGTTCTGAGGATTTGAGTATTTCGCTGTTCTGAGGATTTGCGGATATTGGTGTTCCGAGAATTTGAGGATTATGGGGATTTGAAGATTTAAGGATTTTTCTGTTTTGAGGATTTGAGTATTTTGCTGTTCAGAGGATTTGAGGATTATGGAGATCTGAGGATTTGATGATTTCGCTATTCTGAGGATTTGAAGATTATGGTGTCCTGAGAATTTGACGATTTTGGTGTGCTGAGGATTTGACGATTTTGCTGTTCCGAGGATTTGAGGATTATGGGGATTTGAAGATTTAAGGATTTTTCTGTTCTGAGGATTTGAGGGTTTTGCTGTTCAGAGGATTTGAGGATTATGGAGATCTGGGAATTTGAGGATTGTTCTGTTCTGAGTTAAGGATTATGGTGTTCTGAGGATTTAAGGATTATGGTGTTCTGAGGGTTTGAGAATTATGGAGTTCAGAGGATTTGAGGATTTTGGTGTTCCGAGGGTTTGAGAATTACGTAGATTTGAAGATTTTAGGATTTTTCTGTTCTGAGGAGATAATGATTATGGAGATCTGAGGATTTGAGGATTTTGCTGTTCTCAGGATTTGAAGATTTTGGTGTTCTGAGGATTTGAGTATTTCGCTGTTCTGAGGACTTGCGGATATTGGTGTTCTCAGGATTTGAGGATTTTGGTGTCCTGAGAATTTAAGGATTTTTCTGTTTTGAGGATTTGAGGATTTTGCTGTTCAGAGGATTTGAGGATATGGAGATCTGAGGATTTGATGATTTCGCTATTCTGAGGATTTGAGGATTTTGGTGTCCTGGGAATTTGAGGATTTTGGTGTTCTGAGGATTTGACGATTTTGCTGTTCCGAGGATTTTAGGATTTTTCTGTTGTGATGAGATAATCATTATGAAGATCTGAGGATTTGAGGATTTTGGTGTTCCGAGGATTTGAGGATTATGGACATTTGAAGATTTAAGATTTTTCTGTTCTGAGGATTTAAGGATTTTGCTGTTCAGAGGATTTGAGGATTATGGAGATCTGGGAATTTGAGGATCGTTCTGTTCTGAGGACTTAAGGATTATGGTGTTCTAAGGATTTAAGGATTATGGTGTTCTGAGGGTTTGAGGATTATGGAGTTCAGAGGATTTGAGGATTTTGCTGTTCCGAGGATTTGAGAATTTTGGAGATTTGAGGATTTTAGGATTTTTCTGTTCTGAGGAGATAATAATTAAGGAGATCTGAGGATTTGAGGATTTTGCTGTTCTCAGGATTTGAAGATTTTGGTGTTCTGAGGATTTGAGTATTTCGGTGTTCTGAGGATTTGCGGATATTGGTGTTCTCAGAATTTGAGGATTTTAGTGTCCTGAGAATTTAAGGATTTTGGTGTTCCGGGGATTTGAGGATTATGGGGATCTGAGGATTTGATGATTTCGCTATTGTGAGGATTTGAGGATTATGGAGATTTGAGGATTATGGAGATTTGAGGATTTTAGGATTTTTCTGTTGTGATGAGATAATCATTATGAAGATCTGAGGATTGCGGATTTTGGTGTTCTCAGAATTTGACGATTTTGGTGTCCTGAGAATTTGAGAATTTTGGTGTTCCGAGGCTTTGAGGATTATGGGGATTTGAAGATTTAAGATTTTTCTGTTCTGAGGATTTGAGAATTTTGCTGTTCAGAGGATTTGAGGATTATGGAGATCTGGGGATTTGAGGATTGTTCTGTTCTAAAGATTTAAGGATTATGGTGTTCTGAGGGTTTGAGGATTTTGGTGTCCTGAGAATTTGAGAATTTTGGTGTTCCGAGACTTTGAGGATTATGGGGATTTGAAGATTTAAGGATTTTTCTGTTCTGAGGATTTGAGGATTTTGCTGTTCAGAGAATTTGAGGATTATGGAGATCTGGGGATTTGAGGATTGTTCTGTTCTGAGGATTTAAGGATTATGGTGTTCTGAGGATTTGAGAATTACGGAGTTTTGAGGATTATAGAGATTTGAGGATTTTGGGATTTTTCTGTTCTGAGGAGATAATGATTATGGAGATCTGAGGGTTTGAGGATTTTGGTGTTCTCAGGATTTGAGGATTATGGAGTTCGTAAGATTTGATGATTTCGCTACTCTGAGGGTTTGAGAATTTTGGTGTCCTGAGAATCTGAGGATTTTGGTGTTCCGAGGATTTGAGGATTATGGACATTTGAAAATTTAAGGATTTTTCTGTTCTGGAGATTTGGAGATTTTGCCGTTCAGAGGATTTAAGGATTATGGTGTTCTGAGGATTTGAGGATTATGCAGTTCTGAGGATCTGAGTGTTTGAGGATTTGAGGACTTCGCTGTTCTGACGATTTTAGAATTTTGGTGTTCTGAGGATTTGAGGATTTTCTTAATTTCTTGATTTACCGATTTCTATATTTTTTTATTTCTCAATTTCTCGATTCGTCATTTCTTCAACATTCGGATTTCTCGATTTTGCAGTTTTTCGATTCTTCTATCTTTCGATTTTCCCATTTCTCAATTTTTCGAGTTTCAAAACTATCAGTTTTTTGACTTTGCAAGTTTTTGATATTTCGATTTAACGTCTTTTCGGGTTCTCGATTTTTCGTTTTTCGATATCTCGATTTGTCGATTTTTTATTTCCCGATTTCTAGACTTTCAGATTTTTCAATTTTTCGATTAAGGGAAAAAAACACAAAAAGTTGGCGTGGAAAAAATCTAGAAAAAAATTGGAAAAGGTGAAAAATGGGCAAAATAGTCACCACAAGAAAGACGATAAAAAGGTAGAAAAATGCGATAAAAAAAGGCGGTGAAAAAAGACGATATAAAAGCGCACACAAAAATATAAAAAAAAAACAAAAAAGATAAAAAGAGATGACTTAAAACGACAAAAATAGGCAAAAATAAGATGTATGAAAATAAGAAGAAAAGCGATAAAAAGGCAACAAAATAAAGAAAGGTGACAAAAAATATAACAAAGAAGGGAAA